AAATTCTGAGAAACGTGAACTTTTTCTCTTTATAACTTCCCCCATGCATTTTTCTATGTCAACAACAAGCTGATTGACACAACCTTTGTGTCTCTAGAGTTACTACTAAAAGGTGATTCAGATTCCCTCTTTTTTACTCAGTGTTCTTTCTCTCTGAACGCTTGTAGGATCTTCCTGTTTGCACAGTTCTGAAACTGCATAATGGTGTGTCTTCGTCTAGGTTTACTTGTAATCAACCTGCTGAGGCCTAGAAGGTCCTGCGACTCTGGGAAATTTCGGTTCTGGGAAATTTTCCTAGTCTGTTATTGATTTCCTGTTCCTGTCAATTTTCTCTGCTCTCTTTGAAGTTTCTTCTGATTGTGTGTGGGGCCTCCTGATTTCTTCTATTTGCCCTCTGATGTTTGTATGTTGTCTCTCCTGCTTTCTGTTTCTTTTTGCTGTGTTTTCCAGAGAATTTCTCCCAATGTGATTTCAAGTGTTTCTACTGAGTTCTCATTTTGTCATCATATTTTAATTTTATCAGTTGTTCTGTGGTTGTCATGGTTATGTTCCTTACATCTGCCTATAAACCCAGGTCCAGGAATCTGATGCCTTCTGCTGGTCTCCGTGGATACCTCTCTCTCTCTCTCTCTCTCTCTCTCTCTCTCTCACACACACACACACACACACACACACACACACACACACACACAATGAAAATGCTTTTCTATACAAAAAACATCCAGCCTTATCCAGTCTTCTAATTTTCATTTTCCACTCCCCATCACTTTTCAGTTTCAACATTTTATAACTTTCGAATCATCTTATTCATCCTACCCCTGTGAGTATTTTATTTGTTTTTCAAAATCACTTACATATTAATACTTTAGATGTATTATATTCAGTCGGGCACCTTAAACCTGGAGGACCTTGTAGCTAATTTCCAACTCCAATTATAGCTAACGTCTATCAATTAATTTTTAATGGTTTGTATTTATTTTGTGTGCCACTCAACTACAGGTGCCCTTGGAAACCAGAAGAGGGCATCAGATTCCCCTGAAACTGGAGTTACATGTAGTTGTGAGCCATCATGTGGGTACTAGGGCCTGAATCCGGGTCCTCGGCACTCTTAACTGAGCTGTCTCTCCAACACTTGATCTTGATTATTGACTATGGTCTAAGTGGTCATCCACCACTATCCTAACCACATCGGTCCTCGTGCCAATCTCAGAAGGAGAGTATCGTGATTAGGTAGGGACGTCAAGGCAAGTAGAGGATATGTACTTGTACAAAGTCTTCTGTCTAGGAAAGGAAGAGGTGGCCTTGGGGTCTGAGCCTGGGAATTTAGCCCCACACCTGCACCCTGTCCCATCTAAGAAGTGCTACTATTCCTCTCCTTTCTTCTACAATTTAGCTACCAAAAGATGAAGGACACGAAAGTATACCCTTCAGCACCTCTCATCCAATAGCTTTGTTTAGCAGAGCTGTTGAGTGTCAGGTCCTGCACAATCCCCATTCAACCCTCAGCACTTTTACCTGGTGGCTACTAATGGACATACTGGGCTGGCAAGATGGCCGAGTGGATAAATGTGCTCGCTACCAAGAATAACAACCGGAGTTCAATCTCTAGAACCCACTTGCTGGGTAGAGAGGACAGACTCAAAAACCGTCTTCATGGTTGGTGCGCTCCCATCCGCCACATCTCACACAGGAAACAACTGTTGTTTTTAATAAGCATGTTACCACTGAGGCTTGGGAGCCTTGAAGAATTTGCCAAAGGTTCTTGAAGGGAGTGGAGAAGACAAGATTCAAATCCAAGATCATGTGACTGCAAAGCACCAAGGAGACTCTGAACTATGCTCAGAATCTTGGGCAGTGTGGATGAAAAGGGCCAGAACAAAGTGTGCCTCTGCTCCCTGTGTCTAAACACTTGGCAAAGTAAACATTCTAGGGCTCTTTACTCTGGTTTCATCTTCATTATACAATGAATCTCCTTTGTCTGTGTCCATATCAGTCATCTTCTCTTTAACCCTTTTCATTACTTTAATATTTTAATCTAGCACTGATATTCCCTCATTTTAACTTCATGTCACTCTTATTTATTTTCCAGAAGTGTCTATTTGTCTTCATTTCCGTTATGCCTTTTTTTAAAGTTTTTATTATTTTGAGCGTGTGTCTATGTCTGTCTGTATGTATGTCTGTGTGAATTTATATCACGTGTGTGCAGGTGTCCTTGGAGGCCAGGTGTTGGATCCCCTATAAACAGGGTTATAGATACTTGTGAGCTACCCAACATTAAGTGCTGGGAACCAAGCTCAGGTCCTCCACAAGAGCCCAGAGTGCATCCCAGGAGCACATCTCTGCTACATCCAGTCACTGGCTGGAGCTGCATGAAACAAATGTGTTGATGGACTCAGGGAACACAATGGGGGCCATGTTCCATCACGACCTGTGATCAGAGACCCAAAGGTGCTCCTCATGGGAGCCCACTTCCTCTGCTCTGCACTTCCAAAAATGCTGTACTTTAGCCCCCAACTTCTTTTTATTGTTGCTTGTTTAGCAGGATATAGAATTCTAGATTCAAATTAGTGCTCCCTTAGAACCTTGAAGGGTTAAATCCATTGTCTTGGGCTGGGGAGACTGCTCAGTGGTTAAGAGTATGTGTTGCTCTGGTAGAGAACCTAACTTCAGTTTCCAGTATCCACACTGACTGGCTCACAACTGCCTATCATTCTGGCTCCAGGAGGTCTGACACACTCTTCCGACCTCCCACACATGTGTACATATACACACAGAGACTCATGCATACACATAATAAATAAAAATAAATATTTAAATCCATTGTCTTCAAGAATCCAGATTCTGATAAGAGATCTGATATCAACCTGGCTTCTGAGTTTCAAAGACTATCTTCATGTGTGTCTGTCTTTCTGTCTCTCTGCCTCTAGTTATTCCCTACCTTTGAACTCCAGAAATGTGTTAAAGATGTGTGTGACTGACAGCGCATGTGAACTTCACGTGTGTGGGCATGTGCGTGTAGGTGACACACAACACTGAGTCTCTGTTTTATCACTCTCCACATCACCAACTTGAGACAGGGTCTGTCATCTAACCTGGAGCTTTCTGCTTTTTGGCTAGGCGGGCAGTCAGCAAGCCTCTGAGATCTTCCTGCCTCTGCATCCCCCAACACTGCGGGTACCACTGTGTGTACTACATCCAGCCTTGACGTGGGTGCTAGAATGCAAACGTGGGTCCTCATGCTGCTGTTGCAGACACACCCTCTTATCTCCCTGAGCCACCTCCACAGCCTGGGCTTTTTAAGTTGGAAAATTGGTTTTTCACCCCCAGGAAATTGCCTTCCACCATGCATCTGACACACTTCCTGTTTCCTTGCTGGGGAACTTAGCTGGATAACGGACTTTCTGAACCGATTCTTTAAGCCTTTCATCTGTTCCCACGGGTCTCCCTGTGCCTTATGTTCTGGGATATCCCTTTGGCATAATCTTTTAACTAGTCTTTTAGTCTTTCTTATTAACGCCCCTGTTGTCCCTTCTATGGGCACCCTGCTCTTGTTTTTAATCCGTATCCTCACAACATCTCAAACAGATCCTAATTGAAGGCTTTGCATTTCAGGTGTTTTGCTTTGTGTTGAGATTCTTCTTTACATGCACTGTATTTGTGCACCTCTGTCATTTCACTCACGGGGTGTCGGGCTCCTCCCTGGGGATTGTCCCATCACCTATAATGATAGAGGATGGTTTTGGTCTTCTTCCAGAGCCATCATGGGGTTCCCTCCCTGGGTGTGTCTGTTTTTCTCCCCCAGGCTCTCTTGTGATGGGTATGCTGTCCAGAGGACTGAAAGTTGAGGAGTCGGTAGACAGCTTGCTTGTAGACTGCCAGCTAGAAGTTGGAGTTTCCCAAGTGTGTACACAAAGAGCTTTGCTCTCAAGGGTTCCCACTCTGGGAATCCTTGGCCTCAGATGTAAGGTCAGTGTCTCCTTAGAAGGACCTGAAGGGACAGCTAGGCTTCCCATAGACAAGTTCCTAGTGGCCATGCACTAAAGCCAACGAGCAGGGGCCTTTGGGTTAATCCCTTCAGTTGGGCTCTCTGTCCTACCCACTAACTGTGGCCAGGTCTTGAAGCCTGAGACAAGGGGTGGGAGGTTAGGGGATGACCCGATGATGACTTGCTTCCTCCTTTGCTGCTGTTCCCTCTGCATATTCCGGGATATTTGGTTTTACCCTACTTATTCATCTAACGTGTGTGTGTGTGTGTGTGTGTGTGTGTGTGTGTGTGTGTCTGTGCATATATGAGTCTGTGTGTGTGTGTCTGTATGTATGTGTCTGTGCGTGTGTGTCTGTATGTGTGTGTCTGTGCATATATGAGTCTGTGTGTGTGTCTGTGCATATATGTGTCTGTGTGTGTCTATGTGTGTGTGTATCTGTGTGTCTGTGCGTATATGAGTCTGTGTGTGTCTGTGTGTGTGTCTGTGTGTATATATATATATGTGTGTGTGTGTGTGTGTGTGTGTCTGTGTGTGTGTGTAGGAGTGCTCACCCATGTATGCACATGTGGAGGCCACAGTTGACATTGGGTGACTATCTTTTTCACTCTTCACCTTAGCTTTATGACCACACAAGATAGGTGAGGTGAGTGACTGTAAGCATGAAAACACAGCAACTGGAATTTCACAAATCTGATTCTTTTACCTTTGCTGAAGTTTGTTCTACAACCCAGAATGCAACAGCTGTACCCTAGTAAGCGTTTCTTGAACACTGGAAGCGATGCATATTCTTCTCCATGTTCTCTCTGTGTTGGTGAGGTCAAGGTGAACGCTCTTGCAGATCATGTCTATTTGCCATTAATGAAAGTGGCCTCCAAAGCCTCTGACTGGATTTGTCTATTTTTCCTTCAGCACTGGCAGCTTTCAGGAGGATGTTGCCAGGGGCATGCATGTTCAGTAGTTATATCTATCTGGAACTGAACAGTGTATGACACCAGCTCTTTTGATTAACATTTGCTTTGTGCATTTCTTTTCATCCTTTTTCCTGTTCTGCTGTATAGGCTCATTTTAAAAGTGGGGTTCTGTGCAGATGCAGAGACCAACAGCCAAGCACTGGGCGGAGCTCCAGGAATCCTGTTGAAGAGAAGGAGAAAGGATTGTATGAGCCTGGGGGTGGGGATGGTGTCAAGGTCATCACTAGGGAACCCACAGAAACAACCAACCTGGGCTCATAGGAGCTCATGGACTTTGTAGTGGCAGCTAGGGAACCTGCATGGAACTCATCTAAGCCCTCCACATATCTGTGACAGTTGTGTGGCTTCGTCTACTTGCGGGACTCCTAGCAGTGGGAGCAAAGCCTGTCCCTAACATTTTGGCTGGCTTTGGGGAACCTATTCCTCACACTGGGTTGCCTTGCCCAGCCTTAATACAAGGGGAGGTGCTTAGTCCTACCTCAACTTGATATGCCATGCTTTGTTGACATCCATAGGAGACCTGTCCTTTCCTGAACAGAAACAGAGGAGAAGTGAATTAGGGGTGGAGGACAGAGAAGAGATGGGGAGGGGATGTGGGAGGAGAGGAGGGAGGGGAAACTTCAGTTGGGATGTAAAATAAATGAATAAATTTAATTAATTAAAAAAGGAACAAAACCCAAAACAAACAATGTGTGTTTCTTTGGAGCTGGAAAGGTGGTTCCAGGTTAAGGGATCTCCATGCTCTTGCAGAGGTTCCAAGTGTCCAACATCCACATCAGGTGACTAGCAACCACCTGTATCTCCAGATTTGATCTGACATCCTCTTCTGGCCTCCCTGGGCACCTGCATCCAACCCCCGCCCCCACCCCGTACATACACACATACACACACACACACACACACACACACACACACACACACACCACAACACACACTCTCGTAAAAAATAAATCTCTTAAAAAACAAAATAAATAGGCTTCTTGTTAAGTGGCACAAAGTTGACCATTTAATTTTATTTTACAAATTATATTTACTTATTTATAGTGTGTGGGGAGACCTGTGGTGCTTGCATGTGTGTGGGGGTGCACTCATGCCCAGCCAGAGGCCAGAGGGGGACCCCAGGTGGTCTGCTCCATCACTCTTTTTCCTTATCCCCTCCCCCCATCTTGCAAGGTTGGGCTTTTTGTTGCTGATGATGTTGTTTCGTTTTCTGGATGTAGAACTATGGGTCAGTCATTTCTTTCAGCATCTGAATGACGCTGACCCACTCCGCCGATGTGTATGGCTCCAAAAGAAAGTCCTCTGTGCCTCCTACATGATCCCTTTGCCTGCGGTGCTCCCTGCCCCACCCTCCCCCCTGGCAGCTCCCTTCAAGGTTTTCTCTTTAATCTTGGTTTTATCAGTTAGACCTGCTAAGGATCTGGTGTGATTTCACTTGTACTTGTTCGCATTTGGGAGCAGTTTAACATTTAGGGTTTTCTGAAATTTCTGGATCTACCCTTTGATGTGTCATATTATTTTAATGGAATTCTTGACCTCTTAAAATATTTCTCATATCCAATTCTTCCTGTTCACCAAAGACCTTTTCCATGCCTGCACCACCAGGGGGCCTTTCTCCAGCTCTCCCTTCTGTCTTCCACCTTTCCCAAGAGCATGGGGAGCCTGTGGGGAAGCCTGTGGGTCCCTATGCACTGGTATCAGGCCCCTGCTCACCCACCCAAGCCTACTCGTGGCTTCTGGAAGCTGGTTATGCATTTTGCTGCTTTCTTCTTAACCACTCGCACCTGCTGTTTAGCTTCTAGCCCCGCCCCCGCTCCCCCAGGCCACAGGTGACATTAGTGAGCCCCAGCTCTGCTCACAGAGTTTTTGCTCTTTGTGGAATTCATGTAGCTAATTGCCTTGTGGCATCAACTTTCCATTTCAAGAAAGAAAGAAAGAAAGAAAGAAAGAAAGAAAGAAAGAAAGAAAGAAAGAAAGAAAGAAAAAAGACTGTGGCTATATAGCAAGTTTAGGGTGTGAAAATTTTTTCCCATTTTGTTTTTGTTTTGTTGTTTTTGATTTTTGTTTTGAGGCAGGGGTTTGGGTTACCAGGGCTGACTTCTAACTCCCTAAGTAATGTCGGTCATGCATCTCTGTTTGCCCAGGTAGCTCTAGTTTATATCCACGTCCTTGCACTACTAATAGTGCCTTCTTTTGATCTCAGAAGTGTTACATGTTGGAGGAAGCATATTGTCACCCACTGTCCCTAGCAAGTGATACATTTGATTGGTTGATTGATTGACTGGCAGGTTTTGCATGTTGGGGTGCATATGTGCCACATGTGTATGGAAGTCAGAAAACAACTTGGGGGGAATTGGTTCACTTCTTATACTATGTGGGCCCAAGAGATTGAACTTGGGCTCGGCGGAAGCACCTTCACCCACTGAACCATGTTACCCACGCAGCCGTCTCCTCCTTAACACATCACCTTTCATTTAGCCTCTGGACTCCGCTTCCTTGCCCTCTCCTCCTTACTGTAAAACCATATAGACCAATGATGTAGCATGTGCTTCCTCTGGTTTCACCTTTTGGATGGCATTGGCTACTATGCTTAGTTCTGGGATTCCATGATTAATATACTTGTCACCATAATAGCAATACACAGCAAAGAGTCTTAAAGTTCCAGTGACTTACAACCACAGTAATTTGTTTCTGCATGCTAGGCAGGCTGGGCAAGCTAAACAGGTTAATGTGCAGGCACCAGCTTGGGCTCAGAGCTGCCCTGCAGGCCCCAGGTTGGATGGTCCTTGCTCATACTGTTCTGCACACTCCAGCCTCCCAGTTCTCCCCATCATGTCACAGCATCCAATCTGTGCCTTGCCACACCCTCTAAGTCACACACTTTCCCCTCAGATACCGGCATGGCCCCCCTCCATGCCTCCTTCATTGACTAGGTGAGGACGGGTTGTGGATCAGATGCTTTTCTTGGCAAAACTCCTTACAGAAGCAATTTAGGGAGGAAAGGTTGGTTTTTGACTCACCGTTCAGAGGGCACAAATCATCTTGATAGAGTACGCACTGGCACAGCAGCTGGGGTGGTGAGAGCTGACGGCAGCTGGTGTGGCAAGCAAGAACTTGGTTTGCTTAACTCTTGCAGACCGGAAATGGGGCTGGCCTCTAACTCTCAGAGGCCCACCCTCAGTGGCCCACCTCCGACAGCCAGGCCTCCTGCCCCAGAAGTTCTACAATACAACACAACCTGCAAGGGACTACATGTTTAAATACTATACAATGTCGGGACATTTCACGTCCAGCTGTGACAGTTGATCCAGAGGCTAACTTATTTGCACAGTTTGGCTAATGTTGATAATTGACTGTTATCTATTTATTGTCTAGCCATGATCCACTCCTTACACAGGGCATTGTACCTACCTTTAGAGTTTCACTACTGACTTCTTAGTCTCTTAGGGGTGACAGTGTACCCCCAAAATATTTTCAAGCTACTAAATCAAATTTTGATGAAAATTTGGACAAACATAATTTATTACCTTGAAAAATTCAAGGTAGAGGTTCTCAGTTAACTCCATCTGGTAGGTGGAACCAGACAAAGGTGGAGATGCCACCCATGGGACAGGTCGTCAGCTACAGAAGTGGCCTCTGTGCTCTCTTTCCAGACTATTCCAGGTAGACAGTGTATCAGAGGCCTATCCAAGCTGAGCATTTGGTACTGGTTAACTGGCTCGGCAGGTAAGGGCATTTGCTGCCAAGCCCAACGATACGAGTTTGATCCCCAGAACCCACATAATAGAAAGAGTCAGCTCCCACAAGTTATTCTCTGACTTACATACATGCTATGATACACATACACGCATGTATGTTCATGTGTGTGCACACATAAAACAAATGTAAACAATCTTTAATTTGTATAATTTATATTCTCATAATAATGGCATTTAATTCTATTGCCATTCATAGGAATGGAGGTGAGGGCTAGAAAGATAGCTCAGTGGTTAGGGGCATTTGCTGCTTTTCCAAAGTACCAGCTTTGATTCCCAGTACCTCCATGGCTGCTCACAACTGTCTGCAACTCCAGTTCTAAGGACTCTGATGCCACCTTCTGGCATCTGTGGACACCAAGCACATAAACAGTGTATTTGTATACACGAAGACAAAACACTCATGCTCATAAATAAAAAAAAAAACTATGAATTATCCAAAGACACGAAGATGAACCTCATGGCTTTCCTTTTAGCTTCTTCACCTCCCCAGCACTGGAGCTTGAACCCAGGGCCCCACACCAGGCAAGCGCTCTACCAACTGATCTACATCCTCAGAACCCTTGAGATACTGGCTCAAACTCTATTCCCGATGCCTTGTGGCCAGCAGATGGTGCCCTCCTCCTGCCAGGATCCTCGGGGAACTCCGCTCAGGATTCTGGGGCGCTCTGACCTGGAAACTGGGAACCCTTTGTCCTGGGCTCTGGTGATTCTGGTTCTTCAAACAGTCATCTGCTGGGCTGGCGGTTTCCTGGCATGCCTCTGTGGCAGCAGATCTCCTTGTTGACTGGCTTTGGATTAAAGGGAAGTTGGTTGCTTCACAGTCAGGTATGCTGGGTCTTAGCTCAGAGGGGAGAAGAATAAAAACAAGCTCTTGAGCAACTTGTACTAATAGGGTGTTAATTAGGAAAGCACACTTAACTTCTTCGCTGCCAACCCAAACAGGCCAGCCTTGTTTTTGGCTGCGTGCCATATAACTGCATCTCAAAGCACTCCATAAACAGTCATTAGCCCATGTGCATCCAAACACTGGGTGCTATCAAACCTATTCCAAGACCTGGAAAACATATTTGCTTTAGATTCGATAGTTCATGACTCACTGAAGGCAAGGGCCAGCCTTCCCTAAGTCTCTCGAGCAAGTCACCCTCTTGCTCCCAGGCCATGGTCAATCTGTCCTGCCTGCTCTCCCCTTCTGTCATCAACAACACCTGCACTTCCTGCCCTGGTGCACCTCAGTCCATCCTTTTTGAGACAGTCATTTCCCGGTATGCTAATTTCTGTTTGAGAAGATACCATCTTCCTGGTCATGTCCTGCTCAGAATAGCCTACTAGGGGAGCATCCCTCAGGAGCTGTTAAGCTGCAAGCCTTCTCCCCGGTTGTCTCCTGTGATGAGAAGAAATCTTATCTTTCCATGGCACTATGGCACCCAGGCTTTAAGTCCCAGGGCTGGGTTGGGTGTGGCTATGGGAAGAAACATGAGGAAAAATAGGTTTCTTCCTTTTCTGTTTTCAGTGTGTTCTCACCCCCTGGGGGGTGAGAACAAAAAACTCACAGCACCCAGATGCCAAGAGACTCCATGTATCTCCTGCTGGTGTGTCTGAGGCAAGCCTCCTGCTCTGCCCTACCCATGGAGCAGAGGCTCACAGCAGGCCAGGCCATGTGTAGGAAGGAAGGCAGCTGTCAGGTGAGCCCCTCAGAGCAGCGGGCCAAGCACAAGTGCACCTCCACCCTGCCCCACACACTTACTGCGTGCAACCCAAAGGCCTGAAGTGCCTCTAGCTTTCCTCCTGGCCTCCACAGGTGACATCAGGCTGACCTGTCCAGCTCTGACGGGCACCGGGACCAAGCTAACCAGTCCTGTCTGCTGAGTTAGTAGAAGAGACCCAGAAGTGGTCTCCCCGTGTGTGAACCACCTGAGCCACAGTCGTGGTTTCCCTCACACGGGCTTTTTCTCTAGGACAGTGCTCACTGGGAGCCCCTCAGCCTCTCCATAGCGAACAAGGGGCAATTTCTGCAGCTCCAGGCAATCACAAGCCACTGCTGAGACTGTGTAAGGGCTTCCAAGCTGGCCAGGGGCCTGGAGACTACCCCTCCAGTGCCTTCACCGGCTTCCCTTACTCCAAAGCAGAGCAGAACCCCAGAAGTAATTAACCCTTCACAAGATGAGTCACAGGACCTCACTAATGCAGGCTTAGGCTCAGCTGAAAGCAGCTGCGTCGGTAAAGTGCATTTCCTGGGTCATTGGCGCACAAGCAGGCAGGTTGTGGAGGTTCTGGTGGTGGGGAGGTCGGCCACACACTGTCTCCATGGATGGGACTGAACTGGAGTTCGCATGGGAATGACTGAGACTCATTCACAGATAAGACATTGAACATTTCATTCATATATGGAAACCCTTTTCACCATGGGCAATGGGGCTTATGGAATTAGCAGATCCTCAGGGTGGGGCTTTCATGGATAGAGTTAATGGTGGTGTTGGTGTGTGCGTGTGCGTGTGTGTGTGCGTGTGCGTGTGTGTGTGTGTGTGTGTGTGTGTGTGTGTGTTCTTCAGAAGCACAGACAGTTGTCTTCTTCAATTGCTCTCCGCCTTAGTTTTTGAGAAGGATCTCTCACTTAACCTGAGGCTCACTGATATGGCCAGCAAGTCCCAGAGACACTCCCATCTCTGCCTCTCCAGCACCAAGATTACAAGCATGAGCCACCATGCCAGGCTTTTTTAGGTTCCAGGCTTACACAGCAAGGACTTTATTGACTGGGACATGCCCCATTCTGAGATTAATGTTCTTACACAAAAGAGTGCACAAAGCTCTCTGTTGGCTCCTCAAACCAGCTAAGACACAGCCAGAAGACAGCTGCTATGAAGTGGGTTCCTCACAGACCCAGAGTCTACGGCGTCAAAGTCAGTTTTCCAGCCGTCAGAACTGTGAGAAGCAAATCCCTTATTATTCATGGATTACCTTGTCAAAGGTAGATTTTATTTTGACTGCAGCTTTTCATTTTTTTAATATAATTCCCATCATAGCAGGGAAGTCATGGTGGATGGAGAGGCTCTCCCAGCTGTGGCTGCAGCTCACCTCTCTGTGGAGCAGGATGTGAATCGCAAGCAGGGCCCTCTGCCCAGTAGCCTACTTCTTCTAGTTAGTCTCCACCTCCCAACGGTTCCTCAACTTCCCAAAATAACAGCACTTTCCGGGAACCAAGTGCTCTAACACATGAGCTTTTTGAGGGGAGGGGTGCCCTTTAACTCCTGATTCATCAGTTTCTATGATGCCCTGAATGTATTCTCCCCTCCAGCATGAATCTGTGTGTCGTCATCCTGAGAACATTAGTGATTTCTTTCTCTGTCTTCCCTGGTGGCACAGTGCCCCACTCCCCGTAGAATCTCCCATCCCTTCCTGACTCCAAAGACCTCGCTGTAAAAACATGAGTCTTCAAACCAGAATGAGGTGTTTTTGGCACTGCAAAGGAGCTGGGTGCTTGCCATGCACCACAATACTGGGTCATCACTGCGACGGTGAATTTTGATGGCCAACTTGCTGGTTTTATAATCATGTAAGAGATACACCACTGGCTATACCGGTGGCACTGGGGACTGGAGAGGCTGCATCCCCTACTTGGCATCCCTCATCTGGTCGCCTATCCACCTACAGGTTTTGAGGACTCCTCTCCCCTCTGCCTGCTAGTGTGACTGAGTTAAAGGTCTTATGTGAAGCCTCACACAAGACTAGCTATGTCTCATGGGAGACAAAGCTTCCATGGTGGGCACTTATGGGGCAGGTCAGGTCACAAGAGCTATCCAGCTTTTCACTACTATGTGTCTTTCTTCTGACCTCATATACAAGCCTTCTCATCCCAAAGAATCATCAGAGTGAGGACTTCTAACAAAGAGGTATTAAATAAAGGTGTGTGTAATAAAAAAATTGTAGACCTTCCATTTTGAATAAGGACAAAATGATATAATTCCCACCAGGATCCTTCCCAGGACACCTAGAAAATCTCAGTGAAGTTTTAAATCCACAAGTTTATAGTGACATTAAAATAAAATAAAATAAAGTAATACTAAAAATCCCTAGGATCCTGGAAAAATCAATTTATTACTTGGGAAGCTAATAACCAATAGGAGCAAACATTTGTTCGTCCCTTCTTCAACAAAGTTAATTAAATAGTCACTAGATAGCACTTTATCCATGAAATATTCCAGCTAAGCAGAAGCTGAAAAAATGAAAAAAACATTTGTTAGAATACTATCATTTTGATAGCTGTCAGTGAGTTGGTAGATTGGGTTAAAAGTCATGAATGACCACAAGCATCACAAAGGGAAAATAACCAAATACCATGTTCAGCTTGTGTGAAAATGTGAACTATAACCCA